GAATCGACGTGCTGAAAATGTAGCCAATGATCCAATGGCAGCTGCGGAATTTTTCAGGTATCTGGTGACTGCCATCATGAAGAAACTGTTTCAGATCAGAGTAACAAACCGTGAAAGACAAGTCGAGAGCAAGATGGGTGTTCTAGGACACGTAAAAAGCTACTTTGGAGTAGTAGAGAGCCAAGGTCGAGGAACGCTTCATCTCCATTTATTCGTGTGGCTTCAAGGTGCACCATCGGCAGATGAAATCATCGAGGCTCTCGGACACGAAGATTTCCGTGAAAGGATATAGAGGTACATCAGTAGTGTTATTCACGCTCATGTGGATGAACTGGATGACGAACCTTCTATTGCATCGTGCCCGACGGAAAGTCAAATTGCATATGGAAGACCACCAAATCCTACATCCACGAGCTATGACGAGGACTTTGCAAAGTTCGAGAAATGTACTGTTCGATCGAAACAGGTGTATAAATGCGAAATCAATTGATGTCTCACCAAGTATGACAGATGTAAACGAGGAGCGCCGTGGCCTTTGTCTGACGTAGACTGGGTAGATGAAGCCAGAGGGTGGGGTCCAAAATGGACGTTTGGATATTTCAATTCATGGCAGCCTGACATATCTGTCAGCGTTCGCTGTAACAATGACATCAAGCTTCTTACGAACGGCAGAGATACAGGCAACATTACCTACTACGAGACTAATTACGTGAGCAAAAAACAAGGACGGAATTATAATGCATCAGCATTATTCGCCAAGTCTCCGGCATTTCAGATGAAAGACAATGCTTACCTGCAAGATGCCAGAAAACATAATCAGATTATGCTATTTCGTTGTATACATGCGATGAACAGCAAACAGGAAGTGGCAGCGCCGATGGTGATGATGCTACTTATGGGTTGGGGATTCACTTTCAGCTCACACCGATATGAGACGATATATTGGTCAGGGTTCGTGCGGTACCTATTGAGGAGTGATAATGGTCTACGATTACCAAACAGGTGCGTAAATTTCGTTCACCATCACGGACAAATAGATAACTCACAGTGAATACATCACAGTACGTCTGCCGATACATCCCGTTCAAACGAAGATGTAAATAATCAACAACGTCATGCGGATGTAAGTCATTAGATCAAACATTTAGAGTGAATTATTCATAAATGATCTTACCACAGAACGACGACGAGGACGTCAACTTCTCACTTGACGATGAACAACGATTGACTGTTCGCAGTCAAGTGATCGATTATCAGTATAGGGGCGATATACTCGAGAACTACAACGTTATGAACTTTTTCGTCAACACGTATGAAAACAAGTTGTCGAAAAGCAGCACACGTGCCCTCAATAACGAAAGAGAAGGAAGAGGACGTGTTCTAAATCCGCGAGTGCGATATCGGCACGGACATCCACTTTGTGATAAAGTGGTCAGGATAATCCGATCCGAAGGACATAATACACTGCCTAACTTCGTCGGAAAATATTTTCCATGTCGAGATTTCACCGATACTCATGCCAAAGACTTTTATTGTGCTTCGATGCTGCTGCTCCTGAAACCATGGCGAAAATTGGAAGATCTCCGTGATGATCATCAATCATGGGAAGATGCATTCGAACTATTCTTGTCTAGTGCAGACCTATCAGAACGTATACAGAGCATTATCGCGAACATACAACATTTTCATCGATGCAAATCGAGTGCATTAGAGCACAACGAGCGGAACCGAGGTACACATGTTCAAACGGCGTCAGCTGACGAGGGCAGCGAAGACGAAATAGAATCCGCCGATGAAGCCAGAATGAATGATAGGTCACACAACACGGGTGAAAATCAAGATGAGATGATCGTCAAAGAATTAACAGATGCATCAGAACTCACTCGGGAACATATCCATGGTCTTCTTGCGGTTGAAGCCGGGCGAAATGCAGGAATATTTGATGGCGAATCCAGTTCACCATGCAGTAATT